CCCTGCCGCGCCTGGTGCCCGCGCTTGCTGCTCGCCTAGCGGGGCCGGAGCCCACGCGCCGCCAGCCGCCAGAGCCTTGCGAGGAACTGCGCCTGGCGCTCGTGGAGCTGCTCGGCTTGGCTGTGCGCCTGGGCGGCTCTGCGCTTGCACACCACCTGGACGACGCAGTGCGTGTGCTGCGCTGCACGCTGCTGGACCCCTTCGCGGCCGTGCGCCGCGAGAGTTGCGAGTGCGCAGCCAGTCTCGCGCGCGCCACGCCAGGTAATCTTGTGTTGGGAAGTGGAGGGAGGCGGGTGGAGGAGCAAAGTCTTGGGGCGGTGGTCGCTTCCTGGATCCTTGCAGACCCCACAGAAAGTGTTTCTAAGTGGATTTGTAATGGGAGTTCTGATTAGGCCCTTTCGCCAGGATGAACACACTTTCAGAAATATCACTCCAACTTTCTCACCTCTGTTCATCCCCATTTCTCTACGGAATCCACCAATTTTCTCAGACCACTGTCTTCCGAGTGGCGAGAGGCTTTATACGCTCTTGCATTCTTTTAGTCCATTCTTCCCCCCTTTTAAAAACAGATCCTACCAAGTTGCATTTTCTGCAGGAGCTCGCCCGAGTTACTCCTCTTTGCTGTCTCAGACAGCTGAAGGTGTGTGGTCGCTGTAGAGTTTCCTTGAGGAACAAGCTTTGCAGATCTGAGGGATCGGGAAGTGGATCCAGGGACAAGTCCTGGTGGAGGCATAAATTTATTATTAGGTTCAACTGGGAGGCAGTAGAAGATGTTAAGAAGAGCAATGATAGGCTCATCTTCTGGCTCTTAAAGATCCCTCTAGTGCTCTGTGGAGAACAGATTCCAGAGGTGGCAAGAGGGGAAATGGGAAATCAGTAGGGACTCATGTTTAGATGATGCTGGGTTAGACTTGGGGGTGGGGTTTCTTATAGAGATGTAGGAAATGAATGAGTAGTTATGTTTTGAAAGTAGAGCTGGCAGGATTCCTGTTAGCAATGGTTGAGAGAGGAGGGAGGTGGAGGTTTGGGGAGAGGGGCAAGACAGGTCTTAAGGTAATGTTGAGGTTTCCATTTGGGGTCATTCCATTTTGGCTTGACTTCGGATTCAAATAGTGCAAGATCTGGCAGAGCTTGGGAAAGAGACTGGGCTTGAAAAAAGCTATGTGAAATTACAAAAGCTTTTAATGCACTTCTTAGCTACTTCAACCACCTCTCTCCCTGGTCTGTGCATCAGCCAGAAGGAGTGCTTTTTGTGCCTTCCAGGTTTTTGTGTGTGTGTCCCCTCACAAGATTGAATTCTAGAACAGCATGAATGTGCCTCAGTGTAACCCAAGCATATAGCATGGAACCTACCACCTAGTGGGTGCTCACTGACTGTTGAGTGGACTGTTCTACTTGAAGCATCAGTTTACCCAACGTCATCCACTCTTTCCAGCCCACTGCTGGGTGAGGGACCTCTCCTGTGGTTCCCTATCGCATCAGGTAGTAGTAGATCAAGATCTATCTTGATCTGAGGACACCTGAGAGGTAAAAGAATTCACCCAGAGTGAGTTTAAAATAGCCATCCCAGGCATTAGCAGAACTGAACCAGAGCTCTGAAACTAGCTGGTGAGCTTTGATGTCATGAAGACCTTCCTGGTTCTGACCTTTTATGAGGATCTTACAAATAGGTGGAGACTATTTGTTGGAGCAGTGTTGGCCCTGCACCTGAAGTCTTTCTGGGTTCCTGACTCCATACTGCTGGTTGTGGGGTCTTATGTAGCAACCTCTGGGCCAATTTCTCTCTCTTGTTGGTGTCCCTCCCTCCAGGTTCTCTGTGTTACAGTCAGCAGCTCCAGGCCTCGTAGCTGCTGTTTTTAGCTGTAGTGGTACAAAGCCCTTCGCCTTTTTCCCTTGGCCCCTTTGCCTCCAAGTCATATAGATGCTATTTAGGTTATCTACTTATCCTTCGTTCTGCTGGGGCACAAAGCCAGGCCTGGCAGCTTGAGCCCTGTGCTTCCTTTGTCTGGGCCCTTCGGTGGGCAGAAGAGAGAAGCACAAAGGCTGGCGGTGGCTAGCCCTGCAGGGACTCTGAGAACAGGGTCCAAGAGAGGCACAGAGGGAGGAGCCGTGGTAATGGGTGGCCTCCCCATCCCACAGACCACTTCCACATGCAGTCGGAGTCTCTGATCAGCCCCCTGATGCAGACCATCTCCCACCAGCACTGGAAGGTTCGGGTGGCTGTCATTGAGGCCACAGGCACAGTGATCCAGTTTGGCAACGCGAAGTCTGTGGATGACGTGCTCTCTCATTTTGCTCAGCGGCTCTTTGATGACGTCCCTCAGGTAAGGCCGTTTCTCCTCTGGCGGTGGTGTCTCTCTACCACGTGACATTGTTAACTGACTCACCCTCTTACAATGCTACGCCACTGTTCCTCCATCTTTCTGCTCCCAAATGTGGGGCTGCCACCCGACAGCACAGAAACCAAAAACCATACCACCCGCTTTTGAGAAAACAACTCGTTTATCAGTTTTCCTTGGTAGGAGACTAGCAGTCCCTCAGATCAATCTCCTTAAGGACGGTGCTTCGCACGAAGTTTATAGAGCCGAGTTCAAGTATTATACAAATGCAGTTTGGTAGAGTCTGACTGGTTGCTTCATCTTGAATAATGGTATAATGATTTTGGGTTTTCAGAACTACAACAGAAACCAAGACCAAGCTTGCTACATTTGAATGCTGTGCATTTAGCCATGAGCCAGGGCAGCTCGGTCCCTCCTCCCATGGCTGTTTTTCTGTTCAAGCAATGAGAAATCACCTTGCAGACAGTAAACACCCTTCTAGGTCTGAAACACAACTTTTTGCCTTATGAAAAATCTGTTTTCTCATAAAATAGGTAGCAGTATTTTGTCCCATTGTTTCACTCTTGCAAGCCTGCCCTGCTGTTATTAGAAGAAAAGCAGAAACAGAAAAGGACCACCGTGATGGCCACAGATTCAGTTCCATCACAACAATCCTCTCTTCAAGAAATGAGGGAAAAGCTGAATTGTTCGGATATAGTCATCACCCTTAACCCCAAGGAATGTGGGCAAGGACTTCCTCTTTGGAAAACATCTCACCGCCTGCTCTGTGGTTTGCAGACCCACTGTCAGGTCGATCTGGACCTGGGGGAGGAAGGTGACAGGGTTAGGTGTATGGGATTATCCATTCTGGTGGGCCTGGGGCCCCTGGCAGACAGGGCAGGGGGAATGCTGGCTTCTATTGGCAGAAGCCACCTTGGAGGGCATGCTGTGGATCTGAGGGCATGTTTGGCTTATAGAACTTAACAAGCCTTAACACAGGGAGGGGCTGGCAGTGGGCTCCCCTACAGGGAGGGAAGGGGTGAAAGAGAACTTGCTTTGGTTACATGAAGGGGAGGAGTCGTGGCCTCTGACAGAGTCCTCGGAGAGGTTAGAAAATGTCCTTGCCCCTCAGGCCACTCACACCTGCAGCCATTGTGGGTGTGAGGGTGTGGCCTCTGCTGTCCTGGCAGGGAAAGTGTTAGCCACATGCAAGGAGTGGTTGGGTGCCACCTCCTCCGGTAGCCTGTCCACACCCCAGCCCCTCAGTTCTCCCAGAAATCTGTCCTGTCAGTACTTTCACTTCCCCTGAGACTTGAAGGCTACTTAATATGCTTAGGGTCACCCCGCTGGAGCCAGCCCCCTGGATAAGCCTACACCACCAGCAAAAGCCTTCTGACCACAGGCACTGGGTTTTCCTCCAAGTTGCTTTGTTTGTTTTGTGTTATGTTTTAAAGTAACTTTATTGAGCTATAATTCACATGCCATATGACTCATTGCATTAAAAAAGTATTCAGCTCAAGGTTTCGGATATATTACATTATTAATTGAACATTGGTTTACCAAAACATATGCAACATGAAATTTACCAGCTTTGTTATTTTTAAGTGTACAAATTCAGAGGCATTAAGTACATTCACATTGTTGGGCAATCATCACTACTGTCCAAAATCTTTTATCGCAAACAGAAACAATAATCAGTAAGTAATAACTCATCATTTCCTCTTCCCCAAACTCTCATAACTTCTCATCTTTCAACCTCTAGAAATTTGTATTCTAAGTATTTCTTTTTTTTTTTTTTTTTTAAGAATCATTTATTTATGCATACCAGAGCTGGGTTATAGGCCAGAGGTACAGAAGGGTGAGAAACTTCACCAAAGACAGACTGGGGAGCAGAACAGTCAGATCAATGAAGTACACCTCCGAGCAGAGCAGTGGGCGAGACAGGAGAGGTCTAATGCACCATGTGGGTCACCTCTTTGGTGGGTAATTGTGCTACAGTGGCTGTGGAGAACTTCATAGTGCTGTGTTTTAACCTCTTGCACCACCAGGGAGGACCTTGGTTCTAGATATTTCATATAAGTGGAACCAATATGTGCTGATGCCTCTTTCATTGAGCATGTGTTTGAGGTTCATCTGTGCCATAGAATATTTCAGTGTTTTGTTTCTTTTGAAGATTGCATGGTATTCCGTGTGTTTGTGGATGGACTACGTTTTGTTTATCCATTCATCTACCAGTGGATGCTTGGGTCATTTCCACCTTTTGACAGACACGAGTAATGTGAATATGGTGTAAAAGTGTCTGTTCAACTCCCTGCTTTTGTATCTTTTGGGCGTACACCAAGGAGCAAACTTGCTGAGCCGTGTGTTTAAGTGTCTGACTTACTGAAGAACTACCAGACCATTTCCCTCAGTAGAGGGTTCCAGTTTCTCTGCATTCTCACAACCCTTGTTACTTTCTGTTTGTTTATAACCATGCTAGCGGGTGTGAGGCAGTATCTCATTGTGGTTTTGATTTCCATTTCCCTAACCATCTTTACATGCTTATGCCAAGTAGTTTTTGTTGTTTTTTTTTTCATGTGCCTTAACATTCCATTTGTATGACTCACCATACAGTCTGCTCTGTTAATGTGTGTGCAACCAAACTAAAGTAGGTCAAGATGCCTGTTCTAATTGTATGCAAAGGTTTATTATCTGTCACTTATAGAAATGGTAAGAGCCACTTCCTCCTTGCTTTCATCCTCAGGAAGGAGAACTAGGGGGCTTTGCTTTAGGATTCCATCTCTCTGGGCAGGAGGTGGATTTTTTTTTGGGGGGGGGCAGGGGGGGTGTGTCCCGAAGGTGACAGGATGAAGGTGTCCCTCCAGGCTTTAGAGGCTGTGACAGAAACCTGGCTAGGATGCGGGATGTTTTGTGTGGTGTCCAGAAGTGCATAGCACCTGCCCGGTGTCTGCTTCTCTGCCTCCTGGGCTTCATCCTCAGGCTAGTTCCCCGAGATGCAGCAGTATTGCCTTCGGGGCTAATGTCGGGACCTAGGGACCCTTCCCCATCTGGGAATCCGCGTCTGTCCCCTCAGTTCAGTGAGGCAGCCTAAGGAGTGATTACCCCACCACTGACCTCTTCTGGAGCTGGGGGTTAGTCAGACTGCCAGGGGAGGAAGAGGGTGGACAGGGTCAGTGCCAGCAGTACTTGGCACATGTGACAGGCTGTCATCCACCAACCAGGAACGTGCCTGCAGAAAATAGCAGCGTCAGGAAGTAAGCTGCCTTTACCCTGAGCCTGAACCTTCTCTGCTTCCCTGGGGTGAGATCAGACCTTGAGGCAAGTGGCTCCCTGTGTGGCAGATCGAGCAGTTTCCTCTAAGTTTGTTAACTGTGTAGTCAGAGCTCTCTGGAAACAGTGAACAGTAGCTCTTCTTAACTAAGGGACACCCCTTAATCAGTCCTAGCTTCTAGCACTTACACGGGTGGGGTGGAGGGGTGTCTCACAGTTAATTACTTTCTCTTTGGCTCTTCCGTGCCATCAAGGGCAACATCCCGTGTGTTCTTGGCGACACTTTCCCAGATCTTCCATCCATGACTCTTATCTAATATTTCAAAAACAAATGCTCTCCATTATCACAACTACTTTTGTTTTTCATTTCTCCCAGTGGGATCTACTTTGCTCCATCCCACGTGGGGGCTAATCAGGTGGAATTCCAAAGGGAACTCTCTAGTCACCTGTAATCTCACAGGTGATGGTAACAGGCTGGCGGCAGAGTCCTCCACAGCAAGTTAAGGGAAGTGCTGCCTCTTACTCTATGGGCCCTGCGCGCATGCTGATGTCTCCTGGGACTTCACAGAGGCTGGGCTGACTCTCAACCCCATGGACCACCCTGGCTTGCACTTCATTAGACATACGGCAGCCTCCACCGCCCCCACCCGTGAGCTTCGCAGAGACTTCAGGGCAGCAGCCTGGGGTCCCACCCTCCTCAGCACAGGGTCTGGTTCATGTCCGGAGGATGTGCAAGAGTCAACAAGAAGCTCCCTGTTTAGAACAGTGGGGACACAGCCCCAGGGCCCGGCTGTGGGACCTTTGGTGGCAGAGTCAAACTGCAGAACACTGTTTGCCCTGGTGACGACATCCACATGGCCCACTCAGGGCTGCCCCGGTTGGCCCTCAGTGTTTCTTTGCCCATGTGATGCCCTTCTGTTTTCCCTTGTGGCAGGTTCGACAAGCAGTGACTTCAGTAGTGGGGGGCTGGCTACTGAATCTTCGGGACCGATACTCCTTCTTCCACAAGCTCATCCCGCTACTGCTGAGCAGTCTCAGTGACGAAGTGCCTGAGATTTCGTAAGTGCTTCAGGGACTTGTGTTTTCAGCTTTGGAAGCGCTCTGAGGCCTGATGATAAGGTTCCACAGGCACCTGTGAGTTCCTTTGTTTTCTGGCTTGTCAGAGACTTGCTTTTTCTTAAATTGTCGCTTACAACAGCAGTTCTTTCTCTCTGCTTCCAAGTCTCTGATACAAGCCCACCCTGTCTCCCTTTCAGTCAGTACTGTGAGACCGCATAGCAATCTGAAAATCTCATGGTTTTGAAAGCATAATGCTGGCCTTTTTTAATGCCTAGATTGGGCACATATATAGAAATCAGTCACCATTTGGTACTGTTGGCATAGTGATCAAAAAGCCCACCAGAGTTTCTGGTATCATCTCTCAGGGAGACAGCACCATATCCTGACTGGGTGGGGAGCCCCCGGAGGGCCCCCCTGAGCCATGCTCTGTGTTTGTTGTGCTGCAGGCGCTCAGCTACAAGCCTATGGGAGCAGGTGGGCCTGCAGTGGCAGCAGGAGAATGAGCAAGACCTGAAGGACAAACTTGACTTTGCCTCACCCCCTCCAGCCCACTACCCTTTTCCAGGTGAGTGTGTGTCCCCTCCCAGGACAATGTGTGTGTGTGTGTGTGTGTAGAAGGTGGGGGGAAGTGCAAGCGAGTCACACTCAGAAGGAAGAACTCTTGAGTTCCGTGGGAATGGAATAGCTCCTCATCTGGAAAAGGACTGATGAGGGCTCTCCTCACACTGGAGCCCCATCCCTCCACTCACCACTGCTCTGATCGCCCCAGCACTCCTTCAGCCCATGAATGGAAAGACCTGCACGAGGAAATGCCCTCACCCAAAGGTGCCCGGACAGCGGAGGATGTGTGTCCTCGGGTCCTGTGTTGGAGATCAGAGGCCCCGACGGTGTCTCTGCACGGCCCTCGCCCAGAGGAGCCTGTGGGCTCCCTGACGCACACTTGCAGTTGGTGTGATTGAGACCAGCGAAGGAATTCTTTCCTTGTTGGACCCATGGGGGGGGGGGTCAACGTTTCAGCTTGTGCAGCTTTACCTCCCACACTGTAACGTTGGCTTAAGAGGCATTGTGTGTATTTTGGAAAATGTACAAAAGTATTTGCTAGCAAGATTTTCTCCCCCGATCTTGTAAAGTCAGTTTAAGAACACATACAAATACAGAATTTGGACATAAAGGTCATTTATAATTGTATTGTTATTAAGGAAGCAGACTTCTGAAGGGTGGTTTCATGCTCCCGGAGCTTTCTTCTCTCTGCTCCCGCAGTTCAGTCTAACACCGCGGAGGCTTCCTGAGCTGTGGGTGTGTCTGTTGGTGGCACTTGCGTTTATGGCACATTTCAGCTGGGTTCTGGTCATGATTAGGAGACAATAATTCTCGCAGATATGCAGACCAGGATCTCCGCCTAACTGCACAAGGCCTGAGACCGATTCCAGTAGCTCTTTGCGCCTCCTGGTGTGGGGTCACCATGTGTGTCTAGGTGCTCAATCTGAGTGCACCAGCTGCACTTCTGGGTGAAGCCCAGCCCTCCCAACGCTAACTCAGGGTCCGACTGTCCTTCCAGGTCACACTATGGGGGGCTTGGGAGCCGACTGCTAGAAAGGGCTGGGCCTTGTCATCAAGGAGAGAGCAGAGGGCCCGGGGCTTGCAGAATGTGGTGTCTTCAGTTAAAAAAGAATAAATTTTAAATTGAATTACAAAGTTAATGGCATAAATGCCAGATTTCATTAGACTTTTGACCTTAGCCCATAAAATTACTTGTTTTCTTTAAAATCTGAACTTTAAATCTCTCTCAGATTTTTTCCTCTCATCATTCCATATGGCAGGTTAAATTTGTCTCCTCTAACCTTGCTGTTGCTCCTGCTCTGAGCACACTGACCTACTGGTCCCTCCCAGGACCCCTACCCTGTATCCTGAGTGTCTCCTGTCCCATCCCCGGGAACAATCTGTAGACGTCCCGCAATTCGTCATTTCCAGTTTGGGGTGATTTCAAATAGGGCCGCTATCAACGTTGACACACAGGTTGGTGTGGATGTGTATTCTCATTCTTTTGGAGAACTGCCTGGGGGTAGGATGCTGCTGCTATGCCCTCTCGAACTGGTGGGAGCTGCTGTGAATGCTGCCCCCAGGGAGGCGAGGCCACTGGCAGACCCTGGTGGCACTGGACTGACTGTGAGCGCTGCTGTCTGTAGCCCCTGTTGGTGTATGATGTTGTTGAGTGGGGCTTTAACATGCCATCCCTAGTGACAGATAATAATGATCATCTTCTAATGCGTTCATGGCCTTGTGATATGATTGATAGGAAATATGTGTTTGGTCATTCAGATGACCAAAATACATTTAGTGTACGTTTTTGGTCTTCATCCACAATTCGTGCCTCACAGTTCCTCTTGGAATTACCTAAGTGTTTCAAATGATAGAAAGGTATCTCTTGTTAGGCTGGTTGCCCTAGAGGTGAGACTTTCAGGGGAGAGAGGCTTGAGGCAGAGGCCACACTGGCAACAGCCAGTGATTTAATCGCAAGCCTATGTAATGAAGCCTCCATAAAAGCCCAAGAAGGGGCTGTGGGAGACCTTCCAGATTGATGCACCCCTGAAAATCTGGTGAAGAATGGTGAGCCTGGAGAGGGCACAGAGTTCCAGGCCCTGTGTGTCTTTCATCTGACCGCCGATTCATAACTATAGTAACCATTGTAATAAATCAGTGATCTATTGAGTATACAGGTTTCCTTAGTAATGTGTACCACACTAGCAAATTAATTGAACTTGAGATGAGTGACCTGGGAACCACTGATCCATCATTTGGTCAGAAGCAAGAGCTTACCTGGAGTTTGCAGCCACTATTTGAAGAGGAAAGTGGGACTGAGACTTTAAACCTGGGGGATCTGACGTTCTCTCCAGATAGTGTCAGGATTGAGTTGAAATTGTCAGACCCCCCTGCTGGATTCTAGGAATTGTTTCTTGGTGGGGGAAACCTCAGCACTCATATACCTATTGAAATTGGGTCTAAGAACCCAGCACAGTGGTTATGTGTGTTTCTTCTTTTGTTAAGTGTCTGTTCAGGTCTTTTATCCATATTTTAAGTTCAGTTGTCTGTTTTCTTAAGGAATTTGTAGATTTCTCTCTATATATATGCTGTACTCTTTATCACAGGGGCTTTGCTAGTGTCATAGTGCTCTGGGTCCAGTGTTTGCTCACAATATTTCTGTCTCCAAGAAGGTAAAATTGTCTATGGCTCCATCCAGCACCTGGAACAGGTGTCCAGGTACAGATCTGCTGAAGAAGTCTCAGATGAATGAGTGGGTAGTGTTGAAAGGTAGCAAACCTAGAGCGACCTGTTTGATCTAGTTAGTGGGTCCTCACCTGCATACCTAAGAACTGGAGGACACAGCCCAAAAGCAGACACTTGGTGAGGAACAACAGTAATAGGATTTATTTGCACATGGAGTAAGAAAGGAGAGAGCTGAGAGAGAGAGGGTGTGTATTTATAGGCCGGTCTGTGGCCAGATAGCTCTGCCAAGTGGAGACCAAGGTCCACGCTGAAGCCACATGGCAAGCGGGCAGCTTTTCCACAGACATCCCTCCTTACAGACTCCTTTGGTTTCACTGCCAAGGCCCCAGTTCTGCCCCTTTTTCCTACTGGCCCCTGCTCAGGGGCAGAATCTGGAAAGCTCCACCTCTGCCATTGATTGAGTTGACTGTGAGCCCCATCCAGTGGTATTCATATGAGGAGTTTCTCCTCATTGTTCCTGTTAGAATATTTCCTCTGTAAGACGTGGGCCTTACTTGTATGCCTAAAGCACAGACCTGAGTGTATGGACAGGACTTGAAAAGATTCACAATTCACAGCCATTCACTTTGTCAAGCATAATGCCTCATCAGATAATTCAGGAAGTCACTCCTGGATTTCCCCCTTCCTAAGATCAGGTACGCCGTGCACAGAAGCATATTCACTGCGCAGTCGTTAGCTTTGCAGCACAAAGTAAGGTGCCGATTACAGCACTGAAATAAATCTCCCCTTTTAAAACCAGGCCATGTGTGGGGAGGTTGGAAGGGCCTCATTTCTCATCCTGAAGTCAGCCTTTCACCTGAACAAAGTGCTCTCTTTCAGAGTAATGCAAGTTCCTGCATGACCTGTGTCTGCCAGTCGCGCTGCAAACCGCCGACAGCAGGCTCCTAGCCTGTTCTGCTTTGAGATTCTCTTCTGTTAAAGTTGTTTTCCTTAGTGATGTTTGAGTGAGGAGGGAGGAACCTCTTCATGTGGTGAATGGCTCTCCTAGATCTTTCAACATAAGGTAATAGAAGTGGCTTTTCCCCCCAGCTATTTTAGAAATAAGTAGAGTGCCCTTTGAATGCATGCCACTGTCGTGTAACTCCTCTGCACAATGCCCTCTGTGTTTTCATGGTCTCCCTGAGAGGAGCGCTCCCACTTGCTCTGCTGTGCTTGTGTTTCATCAGCACGTTTGGAATTGGCAGACTTGAATGAATCTTGTCAGAGAAAACTGGACAGGGGGAAGGTGCCCGGAGGCAGGGCCTTCCTTAAGTGCTCTGAGCGCTGAGGTGAGAGCACGCCTCACTCTCTGGCTGTGGATGGAGAGCACCACTATGATGACAGGGCGGAAGACCGGGTTCTGGCACAGATGAGGGCCTGCTGCCCCTAAAGGACAAGGGCCTTGTCCACAGTCGGCAAGTCGGGACCTGAACTAACTGAGTCAGGCCCCACATTCCAGGCACGTGAGATTCCTTGATGACCTTCCCCCACTTCCTTCTCACTGGCCTCTAGCCCCCTGCGCTGAGGGGTCAGTTTCTTCAGGAAGACCAGTCTCATAGTCACCTCTGACGGCTCTGCCTTTGTGAACAGCCTGAACTGTGAGGGACACTGAGTGTCAGCCTTTCTGGTGGTGACACTTTAGAAGCACCCAGAAAGAACAGACTTGCCCCCACACTTGGATGAGCATGATGAGAAGTCAGTGAATGAGTTTTCTACTTGCAGCTAAGTGACACTTAGTCTAACTGGGCAAAAACCAAGCTGATTTAACATTCCATGTGCTCTGGACCTCCCTTTGTCTGGGTTTTCTGCCGACCTCTCCTTGATTTCAGAGCAGGGAGACTAGTGTTGGAGAAGAAAGAAGCCCCGGCAGGAGGCACCTCACCTTCCAGGCCCAAGCCCCGGGCTGAGCTCTGAAGCTGCTCCTCTGCTGGCGGCTCGCCTGTGCCCTCCACGACCCGTCCAGTGAGGCACACACAGACAGACCCCTACCGATACGCAGGTGCCCAACCAGTCAGCTGGTTGGGAAAAGTGACTTTTGGATTAGAAAGAAACTGTAAGGTAGCAGTGAAAATGATGTGGAAAAATACAGATAGGGGAGTCACCCTAGAAACTCGACAGGATCCTCAGCTGCCTGCACCAGAGTACCAGGCAAAGGACAGATGTCAGCACTTCCTCTGTGCGTGTGTGAGACAGGCGTGTGCATCAGGTGTGTGTGTGTGAGAGAGAGACAGGCATGCGCACCAGGTGTGTGTGTGTGTGTGTGAGAGAGACAGGCATGCACACCAGGTATGTGTGTGTGAGACAGGCGTGCACACCAGGTGTGTGTGTGTGTGAGAGAGAGAGAGACAGACAGGTGTGTGCACCAGGTGTATGTGTGTGTGTGTATGAGACAGGCGTGTGTACCAGGTGTGTGTGTGTGAGAGAGAGACAGGCGTGCACACCAGGTATGTGTGTGTGAGACAGGTGTGCGCACCAGGTGTGTGTGTGTGTGTGTGTGTGTGTGTGTGTGTGTGTGTGTGTGTGTGTGTGTGTGTGAGAGA